GTCAGACTCTTAGATGAACCGTATTTGATATTTATAGGTTTCCAATATGATTCTTAACGGATCCTTATATAAGAATCGACGGCCAGAGTTTGTGTAAGCCCACTTGGTCACAATCAGAGTTGCCAGATGCTTAAGTCAGAAAAGTGGAATAAAAAGTCGAAAAAGCGGAAATGTTTTCCAAAATGGGGAAAAAAAAGTGGAAACGCGTTTTTCATCGTATTAGTTCATTTTTCACCAAATGCATAGGGTATCAAAAAAACTTTTTCTAGTGCTTTATGGCGGTTCCATCTAAGAAACACAAAAGAAGTACAAAACATCATTTAACTTCCAATTTGAATCGATATTGACTTTTTGTGGATACGCATTTTTGATCAGCCGTCATAAACTTCAAGAGTTATGTATGACAGAATAAAATTTAAGTCGACACTTTCCCGCCTACGGCACTACTTAATGGTTAAGATTTTCTGACCAAGTTGGCTTCCTTGAAGATTTAGTATTTCACTATTTTTCACACTCCCTTTCAGCAGCACTTGAGACAAGCTAATGTTTTTCTATTAGCAGTCACTCCCGGAACAAATTTCTGATTTAGTTCTCAAAATAGTGTACATCTGTTTTATAAAAGTTACAAAGCATTGTTTTGGCAAGTCATTCAACCGCCGAAGGCGGCAAGTTTTTTATGAGAAAATATAAAAATTTTCATTGCAGGAAAAAGGACAAAAACAAAAATTCTCGAGAAGCGGACAAATGGCGGACAGCTGCCGCTTTGCGGAAAAAACCACAGAAAGCGGAATTTGTCCGTAAAATGCGGACCATCTGGCAACTCTGGTCACAACATGCTTTTGTTTCTTGCACTAAACATACGGAAGTTAAGACATCCTCTTTTATTTATTTTCTAGTGATATCTGTTGTAGACTGTTATCATGTGAATTATATATAATCGACAGAAAATACACGTAGGCATCGTATTAAAAGATGAATTTATAAACAGACATAGATTACTATTAGAATATTGGCCAATTAAAACGAAATAAACAACACAGTTATTAGACCGCTTTGCCAGTTAAAGAAAGACAATACAGGCTATTATTAGCACTTTCACTTTTTTCTAATAATTCAACGGCTTTTACTAATAATGTTAAATTATGCTCATCTTCATTTTCATTTTTGTCATAATACTGTTGTCCATTAACAATCACACCCGTTTTTGTCAAGGATGGTTTGAGTCGATGATACACTAAACAGATTGCTTCAACATTTCGATTTTGATCGAATGTTATTTTCAATTTTGTAGATATGATTGATGATTTCTCATTATCTGACGAGGAAAAATTATTATTCTGTTCCATCAGTGAGAAAGTATCATCTCGTTTCAAATTATTCACGCATTGTCGTTCTGGTTCAAATGAAATTATATTTGTTATTGAACCAAGAGTGATATCATCCTTCTTACTATTTGTCAAATTAACGTTCGTTGATGATTTTTGCATTTTATCTGATAGTTTTTTAATTTTTTTTGACTTTTTGCGATCCTTACTTCGAAGATAATTGATTATTGTTGAGTGATACCGTTGTTTGAGGCGTTTTAGGCGTTTTATCATATATTTTAAATTAGTTTTTTCTGCTGGTAAATTATCTTTTAGAAGTATTTTAGTATTATTCGTTTTTTCTTGAACATTTTTCTTCTTTTTAGCGGGTGTTACTCGCTTTCGAGGTTGGACACTATTTTTTTTGCACGTTGTTCTTTTCTTTTTCATTTGACCATTACAATTTAAATCTTCTATTGGCAACACTATTGTTTCTTGCAGAGAGTTGTTTGATGACAGCGGCTGATTTAAATCATTCATCTCTCCTATATTAATAATATTATTAATTTCGGGGAAAGTTTTTGTGAAAAATATAGGATGATTATCCGTGTTCGTAACTACATGTTGTGAATTATTGTTCCATGTTTGGTATTGATTACCAACATAATTTGTTGATTGCTCACCGTTTAACACTGTATTTGATTGATTATTTCTCAGAAATGTCTGACATTGCGAAGCAGTTGCTCTATTTATGGAAATTAGATTCCCGTGTTCATTCAAACAATTGTCGCGAGTTTGTTGCAATTGTTGGACGGTGTTTTTTGGCAAGCCAGTCGTGCAATATGTTGGCAAATCTGGTATTGATCTATATTCTTTGTTCGAGTTTCCACTCGTCATTGCTAAAATGTCACTGTTATTATGTTGACAACTAAGATATTGAAAAGAGGATTCTATTGTCTGGATACTTCAGTAAGGAGAATAAACTACAGGAAAATTTTGATACAGATTCAGCAGCAAAGTGCTTTTATGAAAAATATGTCGCTACTATCGCTGAAAGTTTGAAATGAGAGCGCTACTAGCGACGCTTCTTAACGGAGTGACTTGGATAGCTATATACACAGGTAACTGCACGTTCTCTTAGAAGTGTTCAATTGCATTGGTTATTTTCGATGATTTACTTTTGCCCTAAGAGGCAGGCTAAGATGCGTCAAGAACAAACGATTCAGAGAAAATGCCTACAATCAACATGAATGAATCCAGGGATCTTGCGTTGATGTATGGAGCCTTACTCTTCATTTTTGTCCTTGACGTAACTCAACTATTCCGGCACCTACTTTTTTGGTTAAGGATGTTTTGCTGTGTCCATCTTTCGTTCGTTTGGGTATATTGTGACACAGATGCTAACTGTCTAGCCTGGGCTAGTTGCAGGGCAGTTTTCGGATCAAATTGATAATTATTATTAACATTAACTATCATATTTTCTTCTCTTATGCCATTAAAGTTCTGAGTTGCGGACGGGTCTGAGGATTTTAATGTGATATTCTCGCCAATAATCGGCACTGAAGAACGTTGACTGCTAAAACTCGAATTATCAATCGGAATACGTAAATTTAATTTTTTTACGGTATTGTTTTTAATATCGTTGTGGCTATGTTGATTTCCGTTTGTGACAGATTTTCTTAAATTGTTTCGTTTTGTTTCGAAAAAATTTTGTTGGTTATTGATTGACATACAACAATTATCTACAATTTGTTCTGTAATCGTATCGGATCGATGTTGAGATAATGTTTCTATGGGTGGTAAATGTACAGAATACCTTTGTTTGCTATCAATAGAGCAGGATATTTGTATAGATTCGTTTGATTGTTTCCACGCAATTTGTTGTGGCAACTCTTGTGTTGGAATCGTCTCAGTCCATTTTTGTGATAATATACTTTCATCTCCTTTCTTAATGTTGAACGATGACTGCTGACTAGTGAATAAATTATTATTAGTCCGATGTCCTTGTGATAAAAGTAGAAGAGGTCTGAGACAGAATGGTAATTGAAAAGTAGAAGTATCAGAAGAGATGGTTGTAGGGACAATCAACACACCACTATTCATGGAATTAGAATTTGCCGCCACTAACTGAGGATTCAGTGTCACATTCGCAGTCAGTCCCACTTTCTTATATGTTTTAGTATTGTTTGATTTCATTTTTATTTGATTTGATTTTGGTTTTTCGCTAGGCAGAGATCGTTTTCTCGGTTTTTTCATTGGTAAAATATTTAATGACTGTTCGCCTGGGATAGGAATTAATTTGTCTGACGTACCACATATTTCTTCAGGTAGCATTGTGTATGTAATTTATTTCTTTAAGATTAATTGATCTTATCTTTGATATCGTTTTGATCTATTATATAATATGTAGCAAGATTCTTGGAGTGCTGATCTAGAAGACGGCATATGTGACTGTGCATGCAATCAAAATCACTAATCAAAGTAAGACTAACTTCTTCCTTGTTAGAGATCTTATTGTTGTGTACTTTATCCACCAAATCAACCCGGATTTTGTGTTAAAACTGAAAGCAAAAATATATCCGATTTGTAGACCAAAAGAGACTGTTTTAAAACGTAAAATAAAATTCAACTACTGATTTCTTTTACGATAGGTCATTATGAATTGATTTGTTAAACAATTTACTCTTCCTGTTTTAATGTTATTTGTAACGTTTCGATCACGATGTGATCTTCATCAGACAACATATATAATTAAAAACACACTGATTATATACAGTACTGCTCAAAATTATAAGCGTACACGATTTTCAAAATTTTTCTATGAAGCCGACTAGCTGGAATAAATCCAAACGGTGATTTGGACAGCTGAAATGATGCCCTCTTAGATGAGATACATGTCACTGTTTGATAACAAGTCTTGAAACTAGGGTTTTCAGAAAGAACAGAAAATCTGTATATATTAAAAATACTGTTCTCAGCGATTCATTATCTTTCCTGTTCTTTCCATATATGATAGTGGGACGAACATTGATCAGAGCATTACAAATAAAATTAAAACAGGAAGAGTAAATTGCTTAACAAAATTCAAAATTCAACTATAGCTGCATCTTTAGATTTGATGCCTTTATTTTGACGATGCAGCTAATATGTTGATTTCAACTTTATTTATTTAAGAAAAAGAAAACACCGGCGACTTGAGACCCATATATTTCACCTCGTGATATTCTTCGATAGGAGCGGTATTTATGGCCAAATGGTCGGAATGACCTCGTGAGAAGGGCAGAATTAAAGCTTCAAAGTATAGAAATCAGATGGCCCATATAAAAAAAGCTTATCAGCGCAGACCTTGGGTCTAAATTGTAACTTCTCCATTCAAACGTGATGGACTAAGGTGGGGCTGGATGAAATCCATACCCCGAGTGTGTACGTTACATTAATTTGTTTTAATTTTATTAAGATTCTCCGTTAGCTTATCTACGTTTGTTTATTCACCTATACAATGCATATTCAGTATTGTCCGTGTGTCCGCAAGCGTTAGGGGTATGAGGTGAGTAAATTTTCAGATTTCCAGCAATTTTTCCCCGTACAAACTTTCACTCTTTGCTCTTCCTCTTTCAAAAGAATTCAGAGGAGTTACACAAAATGGTTATCACAAAATAATGGTTAACCCCTGATGCAATTTATACGAGAAGTCATTACAAATCGCGCCGTTATGGTGGCGCCACATACAAGTATTCCAAAATTAACATCTTCAAGGATTAATCAAAATTTTGTGATAACTATTTTTTTATATGGGCAATCCAATTTCTATACTTTGAACCTTTAATTCTGCCCTTCTTACGAGATCATTCTGACGATATGGCCATTAACGATGGTAAGCAATCAACTTTAAAACGCTGTCTACTTCTATAAAAAGTGATAGTTTCGCACTTCTTATAATTAAGCGGAATGTACCATTTCTCAGACCAGTTTTGAAGTTTTACTAAATCATCATTTATTAGATCTGCTACTACTAAAAGGTCACTATCATGGTGGAACAAAATGGCATTATCGACGAATAATCTTATCGAACTTTGAATGCCTGTTGGCAAGTAATCAATATATATGAGGAACAGCAGGGGTCCAAGGACGAACTCTTGTGGGACCCCTTTATTTATTTAATATGTTTCTTTTTCTTCAATTGAACTTGAATATTTCTTTGTTGAATTTTCATCATAGCAGAATACCATTAACATACCTGAGATAGTTGTTATTGTTGTAGTTGACAATTCAAATAAATTACTAATTCATCGTTACTCGTGCAGCAGCCGACGCTGCAAAACTAAAAGGTACTACAATACATAAGCGCATGTTTTTTTCATGACCAAAAGAGAAAGTTTCTTTTGCACTCAAAACTGTAGGATGGAATAGTCAATATTGACCCGATAAAAAAAAGTAGAAAAAGAAAAAAAGAAAAGAAATGAAAATTTGGTATATAGTTTTTGGCACGTTGATGAGACAAACATAAGAAACAGAGAAAGAGTAATTTTTCCGTGTGCTACTAGAAATGTGATAATTATAATTTCATTTTTTGTTTAAAATGTGTGCAATAATTTTTCTATTGAATTTTTTGTATCTAGCGAGCGTGCACTTACTCTCACTAGTCGCCGACAGCTCGGCCGAAAAAGATGAATCAACTATGCAGTTATATCAGGACTGAATCAGAGTCGGAATCAGCTCTGAAAAAACTGATAATTACTTTCCACAAAAAGTTGTTTTCTCCTGTTTTTCTTCTTCCTGATTCAGAACTGAATATCCTTACCAGTACTTTCAGGGCTGACTTAAGTAACTACATGAAGCTAAGTACACTTGATACTAACAGTGGTATTTTCCTACTCATCCTAACACTGTTCAAGGAATTTTCTCAGAGTTTAGAAATCTTTGTTATTTACATGAAGCTTTCTCTTCTAATAACTGTTTCAGAGCTGAAAAATGTGACCGGAATCAGTTCTGAAATTTCGGAAAACTCAGTCCTGATTTCATTACCAGATTCAGAGCTGAATGAGCTGCTCAGAATTTTCATTTCTAAGTCAAAACATACATTTTAATGAGATCTGATTCAGAGCATAGCTGATTCATCTTTCAGACCGAGCTGATCGTCGACTAGTTGCGCTTTTAACTACAAAGAAAGTTATCCAAAGTAGAAAAGAAAGGAAAAAAAGAGAGTAAAAGATGTAATGACTGGAAAGTCAAGAATATTATTTTCATAGAAGACAAAAAAAAAGACGTGCGATGCCTTCTACAATACACATCAAGCGTTTGTATTACATATGGCCGAAATGAGTTGCTGAGAAGAGTAAATTCAAATCTGGAACGAGTGTCAATCGTAAAAAACATTAAGAATATAACAACCTTGGCCACGAAATTTTGATTCTGCCTCTAGCGTTTTTTTATTGTAGTATCGTTTACTCTTTCTTTTTTATGTTTGTGAAAAAAATACAATTTCTTCCCAAGGGTGAATCGAAGTTTTGTGAACAACTTGTTTCATCATATTCATACTAGCATCTTCTTCACTCGTCATTTCACCTTTCTATACAACTCATTTCGGTCATACGCGTATTACTTTACTATGGTGTATTACTTTTACGTATTTTTTTTTCTTCATTTTCGACTTTTAATATTATTTTATTTGACATATCTTTATTTTAAAGCAAATAAAAAGATTAGAACATAAAAAGATTAGAACGTAAAAAGATTTATTAGTAACTAGAAATGATATCGCTCTTTATTGCAGCGACTATTCAGAAAAAAAAGAAACGAGATGTACGGAAAATTTTGTACTGCAATGGCGACTATATTCCCAGCTTTTTATCTGTTCTTCGGTGAAAATTATTTAAACAGAGAAAGGAGGCGCATATGAAACGAAGGAAATAACTACAATTGTATATAATTGTTTCATTCATAATTTACTCTGACAATAACACAATAGTAAACTTTTACATCATTGAAACATGGTTGAGTTGAGAGGCCGTTTTACTAAAAAAGTTGCGCGTGCGCTATCAATAAAAACTAAATGCTCATATGTTATTGTCGGACATTACACACTCGAAACCGTGTTTTTCTGAGTATTTTCTGAACGATGGAAATAAAAGACCAAAAGAAAACATAAAGTGCTCAATGGTTTTTTTCTGACTCGAAAGATTCGTTGATCTAATCACTTTCGCAGAGCGTGCTTGTCGCTGCAGATTATCTATCATCGTTATACCCAAACTCAATCATGTGTAGGCATGCACCGGTTATAACCAATACCTTCTACCTTTTTTCTGCAATGAATAGCATGAAAAGATTGCTCTACAAAACCCAGTTGTTAGAAAAATTTTAGAGAATCACTTTTCGTTGAGAAATTTTTTTTGCGAAAAAAGCGCACAATTTCAATCGGTTATAACCGGTGCATGCCTAATCATGTGCAACTCATTCACAATTGATTGTAGCTATATCAAGCAAAAATTTATTACATAACTCACTAAATTTTTTGTATTTTACAAAATGCATGTAGATAAAATATGAGTATGAAATAATAGACACTTCAATAATAAATGTTGGCATAACAACGTGTTGATCCGATAATGTATATAGAGCATTTTTCTTTATTGATTACGTACAGATATAAAATAGTGTAGCATAAAATTTTATTCTTTTCCGGAACAAACGTGTTGTATGTCATTATCTTCAAACAGCGTTTTATTTACACACACTGTTTAAATAACAAAAAGTTCTTAAAGTAAACATATGTGAACTTTCAATTGGTTGAAAAATATTTCGTACAAATTGTAAGACAAAGCTATATAAGACAAACTCTTTTTTGCAAGTTTTCATGCATAATCGTTCTGTTTGCCATATATTCAAGAGCTCTGTTCGGAGATAGTTTGAAATGGCGATTTATTTTTATGATACTACGAAGATTTTTTACGCATGGCCGTCATGATGGTATTCCTGAAGGACAACATGTAAATTCAAACCAATTCTATTAGATGTGGGTAATCATATCTCTGGCTTTGCTGGCACTTTTTTCAACAAGAGCTAATTCGTTAACCGCATTAAAATGGAATCTTAAAAAACGCGTTCGTCATCAATTATCAGCAAATGCTAATTTCAGATAACTTTCCCAGGGAAAGAGCAGTGCGTTCCATTCCAAATATTCCATAATCGACAAAGAAAAATAAATTGTATAACTGTGATATACCATTACCTAACCCGATCCTAATGTGAAAACAAAATTATCGACTACGCACTTTATCGAATGTTACAAAACGAGAATCAATTAGTACAACACAAAATAAAAGCGCGATATTATT